TTTTTTAATTGTTTCGATATTATTATCTTTGAAGACTATTATTTACGTTTTTTCAGCTTGTTTTTTTTTTTTGTATTTGTCCAAATTTTTATTTAAATTATATTAAGTAGTTCTATGTTGATATATTTTTTATCTTGATAAACTTGTGTTATGGTTACAAATCAATTTGCTCAGATAATTTTATAAAATAGATAAAAAATAGAATAATAAAATACTGCAACCATCACTAATTCGGAATCGATTTTTCTTTAGAGAAAATGTCAAGTCATTAATAGTATTTGAGTTATATATAGGATTATAATTATTATGTAATGTTAAGATGTTATATATAATGGATAATATTTTCGCAAATTCTGAATTTCATAAATGAAGATAAATAGCGAAATAAATACGATAATAAATTACGATTTCAAGTTTTATAAAAAAAAAAATGAATTGCATACATTAAAATATTTACGAGAATATTCCTAGAGCGTGTTTGCGTGAATTTACACACATATACTTAAATTGACGTATTTATTTATTTATGCAATTCGTTTTGTACTTTCTAGCGATATAGTTATACATTTCTAATGAATTCTTATTGATTTCGTTTGCTATATATTGTATTGATTATATAATAATTGATATTATTTCAGGTTATCTTCGCGATGTAACTGGAAGCTACACTGTGTGTTTTTTGTGTATGGGTACGTGTATGGTCATAGGGGGTTTACCTCTGCTTTTGGTTTTCAACGAGAACCAAACAAATCCAACAAAGCTGCCCGTGAACGCCGAGAATAACAATCGTCAAGGGGACACTACCATAAAAGGATAAATTATTTTGAAAATGTGATCGTTGACTATAAAGTGATTTAACGTGTAATAGGAAAATAAATAAATCGTAACAGTTGTCACAAAAAAGAACATATTAATGCTTACTGAATATCTCCAAGATGGATTCCCTGCCATTTTTATATATTGAGACGGAATATCTTTATTAGATAAATTTCATAATAGATTAGAAACTTATATATTCATGCTTTATTTATTCATTTTATTCTCAAATTATTTCTGACATTTTCTCTTATATTTCAATATTTTCAACACTATTCTGTATTCTTTCAAATAAATTTAATTAACATTCGGTGAGAGTTTTAAATTACGTATGTTTTGTGAATGTGAAAACAATAATGTTCATAAGTATAAATATCTCACAAATCTAATAAACGTATAAACAATCTCCAAGAAGTTTCCTTATCCTGTTTTTATTATTTACATTTTACATATTACAATTATGTACAAAATTTCTTATTAATTTAATGTCTATTAAACATTGTTTATATATATGAAAAGGTGATTATCACATAGAAAGTAAATTAATTCAAATGGATATATGAATAATATTTAAAACAGGATGATAAATAATCTGTAATATAAAATCTTTACAATATAATCTATAATAGAATATAAATTTTTATTAGATCTAAATATGTACATGTTGAGTCATGATGTTTACGTATTTCTTTTTTTTAATCTTTAAATTAGTGTATGTATACATATATATATATATATATATATGTATACATACACAAGATAAGTCACGAGTATATTTAAAATATATTTAAAAATTTCGTAAGCGTGTTCCTGGATAAAAGAGAAGAATAAATATTTCTATGAACATTAGAGAGGTTACAAATGCCTTGAAATAATGGACACAAATAAATTTGAAATTATATACACACACACACACACAAAATTCCTATTAAATATATATGTATATAATTCCTATACGAATAATCTCGGAAGATTTTATTACTAGAGTATAAAGTCTCTATTTGCATTCGAAGCACTATATATGGCAGTCTGATTGCGAGATTATCTGAGATAGTCTGATGCAATGATTATCCATAATCTCCTTATCAGAATTCTAAGAATAATTCTGAGAATCAGACATATATTTAGCGCTAAATGTAAAATACAAATAGTACTATTAGGACGTAATCTAGAGTTACAAGTTTACACATTTCATATGCAGAACCTTGACATCACAATTCTCAATCACAATAAAAAAAATAAGGATGCTATAAAAAATTACATCAATCAGAGACTTTTATGGCAGTTATTTCTTTATAGAGACTAAATTCGATGTAAATTCGGTAACTTCAATTTTTAATATCATAGAGGATCAACGTACGTAATGTATTGTACTGTATAACTCTGTTTCATTTGCATCTCACCATTGTGCAATCCAGAGATGTGAAAGTTTCTGAAACTTTGTATACATCAGTAGGTATTGTCTCTGAACTCTTAATGCACCGATAAGATAATCACTAATGGTCATTGAGATCGTCAAATATATATATATATATAAAGATATAAAGATATATATATATATATCTACATTTATTGCAGATTTCACGTAGGCTTCCAAGCTACCACTCTCATTTTGTTGTTCAGTTCTTGCAATATGAGAGAACAAGTGAGCTGTTTCTCTGGAGATAATCCATTGATTCCATCCATTTCATCGTCATCATCACCCATACCACTATTACTGCCATTCTTGCCCTTTCCCTTTCCTTTTCGTTTTTTCTTTTTATTCAACTGACGACAATCAATATCATTTGAATTGTCTGTAGTCCTTCTGATCTAAAAGAATAAAATAACTTTTACACACACATTAAGAATATCAAATTTTTTTTCAAATGATGTAATAATATATTACAATATAATATTATTATATATATTAGACAAATATTAGTATGTTGTGCATAGCAATAATACAAGTTAAAATAGAGTTACGATCTAATAAATCTATGTGTAATAAAATGTTAATATTAAAAACAATATTCTATTCTACCTTGGCACTTTTTTTCATCTGCTTATCATATTCCAAAGCGTCATAATAATTGGGCTTCTCGCGTTTAATGCGATTTGTTCTTCTCGTTTTCATCACTCCACTGTCGGGACTGGGTGGACTTTTGATAGAATTACGTCTTGCATTAAAAAAAGAATGTCCACAAGGACAAGCTTTACAGGCAACAGGTACCTTATTATAAGAGAAATAGTCAAATTTATTAATATCTTCGACTTAGCATAGCATGCAATTTATAGATAATTAATTTAATAAATATCAGCAAAGGGAAAATATAACATATTTCAAGATACAAAATTTATGAGATCCTTAAAATAATATATTATTAATAAGATTCTTAAAAAAAATAGTAAATAATATATACAAGTATATAATAATTTAATAACTACGCTCATTCAATTAATAAATAAAATCTCAGTGAGAGAATGCGTTTATGCATCATACATTTGTCTACAAAAAAAATTTCGCATATTTTATTCGATACTTTGCGCATAATTTCAATATTAAATTTTGAAAAAAATTTAATAAATAAATATAATCAGTAAATATTACAGAAAAGTTCAATAAATAATAAAAATAAAAGTGCATTCTTCATGACAAACGTGAATCATTACATTATATAAATAAGACGTATGTAACTTCATAAATATACGAAAGGCATATTGTATATATGTGTGAATATATTATAAAAAAAAATGTATGAATTATTACACACACACACATATGACGAGAATTTATCTAAATACCTGCTGTTCGCATTTGGGGCATCCCTTGCTAATTGTTTTTGTCTTGGCCATACTTCAAATCGAGCCACTTCAACGATATAGAAATTATTTCCAATTAGGAAATGTAAACATGACAATCGTAACAAAGAAACAAGCAATTATGGCTTTTTTGATGTACGTACTCAGCGCCACTTCAACAATATTGAAACTCTGTAGATAACTTGATGAGAAAATTCTCACTATCAATAATTACCGGCAGTTGACAAAGAATGAGCGCACTTATCGACGTAGTTTTTAAATAAAATAATATTTAAATTTGAACAATGTAAATACAAATTGGC